GCGACGCGAGCACCAAAGGGGAGCGGGGGGAAGCCGGGGAAATGGACCGAAGGAGGGACAAAGAACCGCCCCAGGCAAAGACCACACCCAGGCAAAGACCACACCCAGGCGGGCAAGGCCCCGAGAGAACGAGAGAGAAGCGAGCCACGGAAAGGGCCCCGTGCGCCAGGCAGACAGACACGGTACCTGGGCCTCGCGGTTCACCCGGATCAGGCTGATGAAGGTCAGGACCTCCGGCCGGCCGAGCGTCGCCTCCAGGAGCTTGCGGTTGTTGTGCAGCAGCGAGGTGATGGTGTCCTCGGCCAGGATCCCGAGGCCGATTTGCTCCTGCATGAAGCCAAACCACCGCCCGGCGATGTATTCCTGGTTCTTGCGGTAGGACTTCTGCACATGGCGGATCAGCCGGTAGCACAGCTGGCAGATGAGCCGCACCGGCAGGAAGTCCAGGGACAGGGTGGCCAACGGCGAGAGGGCCAGCCGCGAGGGGGATGGCGGCTCGGACCCCGGGCTGAGGCTGCTGCTGCTGCTGCTGCTGCTCTCGGCCGGCGAGCCCCCCTTGGACGAGGGCGAGGCCGAGGCCGATGAGGTGGGCGACATGCGCGGCGGCGACCCGGCCGGCGAGTCGGGCCCCGCCGCCCCCGCGCCCGCCGTGGCCGACGCCAGCTTCCGGTTGAGGAACGGCGCATTCAGGATTTCAAACAGCCCATCCAGGACATCCTGCTCGCGGAGGAGCTTCTGCCGATTGCGGTCCGGCGCCCCGTCCACCGTCAGGGCATTGCTGGTGGCCGGGTCGGCGCTCAGCACGAAAAAGATCAGGTCCTGGAGGATCTGGCTGCACCGGCGGATCTCCGACATGGACACATTGGAGGCTACAAAGCGCTGGGCAAAGTCCCGCAGGAATTCCCCCGACTCGCGGGCCAGGTCCAAGTCCCGGACTTCGCCGGCATCGACCGGGATCAGCTCGAAGGCCTCGCGCGGGTCGCGCAACGGCGCCGCGCCCAGCTTCTGCATCACGGACTTGCCGCTGGCCTGGTCGATGTGCAGCCGGGTGCTGTGCAGCCAGGTGCCGGTCATGAAGTGCTTAATGCGCACATAGGAGTCCTGCGGCACTTCCACATCCAGGGCCGACCCCCCGGCGAAGGCGGACCCCCCGGGCCCGGCCCCGGCATCGGGCCCGGCATCCGGCCCGGCGGCATCCCCCGGGCCGGCGTCCGGTCCGATGGACGCCCCTCCGGGCCCGGGCCCGCCCGGCCCGGCCCCGGCGCCACTCGACCCATCGGCCTGGCCATCGGGCCCGGGCCCGCCGGAGCCCGGTCCACCGGGGCCGCTCACGCCGCCGGGCCCGGCCCCGGCAGGCCCACCCCCCACCGGGCCCGAGGCCTTGGTGGGGATCATCATGAACAGGGTGTTGGCGTCGTTGGGATTGCGCGAAACGGTCAGATGCAGCGGCGGGCGAGCCACCCCGGCCGCCGGGTCCAGCCGCTGCCGGGTCACGTCGATTTGCGTGTCGGCATCCACATCGATGGCCATGTACGCCCCGGAGGGCAGGTGCCGGAAGCGAAAGAGGCTGCCCCAGCGGCCGATGCCGTGCTTGGCCCCGGGCGCCGTGCCCGGCAGCCCGAGCCCCGACAGGGCTCGCACATCGCCCCCGGCCCCGGCCCCGGCCCCGGCCCCGACCAAGGGCCCCCCGGCCGCCGGGAAGTCCAGCAGCAAGCTCGACAGGCTGCTGGAGGAGAGCGATGCTCCCAGGCCGCCGGCCAGGAGCCCCGCCTCCGGGCCGGGCTCCAGCACATGCGTCACCGGATCCCCGATGACCTCCACCTGCCAGAGGGCCTGCGAGGAGGTGGCCTCGGTTTTGAGAGCGCGCCCGGTGGACCGGAGGAAGACGCTCAGCATGTCGCCATACAGGTCGCAGGTGAGGAACTGCCACCGAGGTGAGTGTCGAAGGGAAAGATGTCAGTCAGGGAGAACCAGATGCCCGGGGCAAGACACAGGCGCGGGCAGCGGCGCAGGCACAGAAACAGACATGGAAACAGAGCAACAGACACAGACATGGAAACAGAGCAACAGACACAGACATGGAAACAGAGCAACAGACACAGACACGGACACAAACACGGACACAAACACGTACCTTTTCCTGCTCCGCATGGTAGAAGCGCACAACGTCGCCACTCTTGAGCACGGCATTCGGAGCCGAGTGGTGCGACCGGTACAGGCCAATGGTCCAGGGGGTCAACTGCGTGGACACATTCACCTCAAAGGAGTCCGGATGGTCGGGCAGGGGGCAGGGGGAAAAGTGCAGACCAAGCCCGGCTCCCAGGCTGGAGGACACCAGCATCACCTGGTCGCCGACCATCACCTGGTCGCCGAGGCTGCGCAGCTTGAAGGCCGGCATGATGGTGAACCAGCATCCCTCGGAGCCAAACTCATCGAAGGTGATGCGCATGGAGTTCTTCTCCAGCAGGGCCGGCAGGCGTCGCTCGGCGGCCAGATACTTGTGACTCTTGACATGGCGCAGCTGCAGGCGGCCGGTCGCAACGGGGCGGCAAGCGACGATGGACGGGTGAGTGCGAGCCCGGACAACACACGGGCCGGTGGCCCATTTGCCAGACGCAGTTACGAACCTGGAGCTGCTGGCCGTAGACGACCGGCGCGCCGAGGAAGGAGGACTCCTCGGACTCATTTAGACGACGCTCCTGCTCGGCCGCGTGCTGGGCACAGGCAAACAACCCGAGGGGGCGAGGGGGGACCGCCGAGGAGCGCACGTCGGCGGGTCAGTCGAGGGGGTCTCTGGGGGCGGGGCGCGGGGCGCGGGGCGCGGGCGGACCCCCCAAAGGGCGCATGCGTACCTGGAGCTTCTTCATGACCACGATGTCGGAGAAGTTCGACCCGCCCGACAGCTGGGAAATGTCCCCGGCCTCGGTGGGCACGGCCGCGGCGTTGAGCCGGGCATTGGCCGTCGAGTATTGATTCTGCGCGGAGTACCGCTTGACCGGGCACACGCGGAAGAGCGAGTCGCGGAAGTACCCGGGGAGCGGGGGACCAGAGCCCCGGAGCTCGGCCGGGCTGGCGCGCGAGGGCTGGACGATGCAGCGCGTGTCGATGAGGCTGGCGGATGGCGGATGGCGGATGGCGGATGGCGGGGGGGGGGGGGAGGCAAGTCAGCAATGGATCGTGAACGGGGCGTCGGCACACCGCCGGCCGGGGAGCCGGCCGACAGGCTGGCGGCCATGGCAGGGGCACATACCCGACCGTGCTCATCATGCCCCACGCGTGCTGCGTGATGGGCGTCACATCGGAATCCACATGCAGGGCGATGATGTCCCCGTGGCAGAGCCCCGGCAGGGCGACCCCGTCGCCGAGGGAGAAGATGCTGGCCGCGTGCGAGGAGGCCGACAGGAAGGACGCCGCGTCGTTGTCGCCCATGACCAAGTCCGGCCCGGGACCCCCGGCCCGAGCCGACGGACCGCCGTTGGTCAGCAACAGCGACCGGGCCGAGTCGAAGAAGGCACGCGGCAGCCCGGGGCCCGGGGCGTCGGCCGGCAGGCCGCCGCCGGCATCTGGCCCGACAGGCTGCGACATGAGCGGGACGGCTCGGGCGCGAGAGGCGACCAAAGGTCCAGGGGCCGGGGCCGGGGAGGAGGAAGGGGGAAAGCGGGCGAGGGGGGCAGCGACGAGGGGCGAAGAGGAGCGAGGGTGCGTCCGACCAGGGGAGCCGGGTGAACAGCGAGGGCAAGATCCCAAGACAGGAGGTGACTCGACGCGTGGTGGGGAACGGGGGGGGAGGGAGGATTGCTAGCGTCGGCGCCCGGCATGCCCGGCGATCTGCCCGCACTTTTGCCCGGTCTCGTCCGCACGCACACCCCTCGCCCCGGCCGGACCCCATGCCGGAGACGGACGAGACCCGGGGCCACCGGCGGCCAAAAGGCGGGGCGGAGGGGCAATGTGCCCGGGGCTCACGCGGGGCTGCAGCGCCGCCGGCCAGGAGGGGCGCTCGCAGATGCATGCACCTGGGCCCGGGGTGCGGACCGCGCTCCGCCCCCCCCCCCCCTGGCGCACAGCCAGCCAGGCCCGGAGGGCCCGCGCGAGAAGCAGATGCCCATGACCCGGCGCGCACGGCGCCGCAGACGCTTGCCGCTGGCAGGTGACACACGACGGGAAAACACCAGGGGGCCCGGGCCGGTGCATTCCACGGTCCTCCGCCCGACCAGCACCAGGGCCCCTGTCGAATGGTGATATTTCCGCCAAGTGTCCGGTCTGCGCCCACTCGGACTCGCAGCAGCCAAGGGGGGTGAGGGCCAGGGGGGGGGGGGGACGCCGCGCCCGCCCCTGCGGCTGGGTGCCGGCGATCCGCGCCCCGGGCACGCGCGCGCGCATGTGCGGCTGCCCCCGGAGGGCGGGGCTCGACGCACGCCCTGGATGCGCATTTTCCCTGCCCACATCCCCTGCCTCAATTAAATGCCCCCCCCTCCCCCCCCTGGACGACCGACGCTCGCGCCCTCCGGCAAATGCCCGCCCCCCGGAGGCGACGGGCCGAGCAACAGCCGGGCCCCCGGGCTGCGGTGCCACCGGCGGAGATCGACCGGACGGGCAAGCGCCTCGCACAGGCCCCGGCGAACCCGGCCGCTGGCGCACAGCCATATTCCCTCCGGACGCCCCTCGCTGAGCGCATCGCCCCATGCCGGCTCACGCTTGCCCCCCCCCCCCCCCCGGCGCCCTGAGAGACGGTGGCGGCGGCGGCGGCGGCGGCGAGGGGCTGGGCGCTAGACGCCCGGTTAGACCGTTGGCACAAGGCTCGCGCGCGGGAATGCGCTGCTCCGTCGGCAGTAGCGGCGGGAGGCCGCCGTGAAGCAAGAGAGAGAGAGAGAGAGAGAGAGAGAGAGAGAGAGAGAGAGAGAGAGGGGCGTTGTATTCGGGGCTGCGGCTCGGACTGTCGACGCAGGGGGCGGGGGAGCGCGCCGCGGGGCCCCGGCGGCCAATGGTCGCCGCACGGCAGACAACAAGAAGGGCCCCCCGGCGCGCTACTTGTTGTGCCAGAGCAGCGTCCGGAGGCTGGTCCACCATTCGGAGTCCAGGTAAAGGTAGTCCATGGACTGGCCGAGGGAGCTGGGCAGGGCGGCCGGCCGGTACCGGTGCAGCCACAGGGCCAGGGCCCAGAGGGCCATCGCAAAGGGCCGATGCAGGGAAGGCAGCGAGCGCGTTTGCCGGGTGAGATCCGGCCGGGCGAGGGCCCGGGCCACGCCCTCCTCGGTCCCCTGCGGGGTGGGGCTCGTCAGGAAGGGGAGCGACAGGACCCCGACCAGCACGCGGGACATGAGGTACAGGTTGATCTGGGCGCGGGCGCGGGCGCGGGCGCGGGCGCGAGCATGGCCGAGGGGGGGCAGAGGCCGGAGGGCGGCGTCAGCAAGTGAAGCACATACATACACACAAGGGGCGCTCGGGTGCTGGGGGGGGGGCGGGGGAACGAGGCCGCGCCCGGGCACGCACCTGTTGGCTGATTGGGCTGCCGTCGCCGAAGATCAGGGCCCCCGCCAGGGCCCCGGCGGCCAGGGCGTGCCATGAAGCCTCGTCCTTCAGCAGCCCGGCCGGGCCGAAGGCCAGCCCTGGCACGCTGCGCAGAAGCTGCAGCGAGGACTTGTAGATCAGCACAAAGAGGGCCAGCTTGGTGGCATGTGTCTTGGTGGCCTGGATGATCCGGCGCAGGCGGTCGGGCCACCTGGAGGCGAGGGCCGCCGGGGGCGGGCCGGGCCGGGCCGGGCCGGGCCGGGGCAGCAGGAAGATGACCGAGAAGGAACCAAGGGAGAGGGTCAGAAGCAGCCGGGCGCTCTGGGCCAGGGCCGGTGGTGTGCGCGCTGCGCGGCTCCGAATGCCGGGACGTACGGCCCCTTGCCATACAGGAGGGCAATGACCAGGGAGTGCGGAAACCGGACCTTCGCGCCGTACACCAACCCATTCCGGATGCCCTTGACCAGGCTCAGGAGGAAGTGCAAGCGCGGATCGTCAAGCATGACAGCAGGCGGCGGGCCTGGGCCGATGGCGAGACAGGCGGACGGACGGGCGGGGCGCGACGAGGGAAAGAGAGGGCGAAAGGAGCGGAGGGGCGGGCGAGCGGGCGGGTGGGCGGGCGGGCGGGCGGGCGGGCGGGCGGGCAGCTGCAGGGAGGGGCGTGTCAAGCCCTCCGCCCCAGCCTGCACCGGTTAGCCGGCCGCGCGAAAAATCCCCCTCCCCCGGGCGACAGGGCGCGCGATCGGGCCCACGGCCCTGCCCTCGCAGCGCGGACGATTGAGGGGAGAAGGGGGGCCGGCCGCCGCGGGCAGAAGAAGCCCCACCCACCCGCGGGCGTCATCTCCGGCCGGCCAATCGGCCGAAGCACACCAAAATAGAGCATACTAATCCCGCTTCAACATACATCCACCCCCCCCCCCCCCCCCCTCTCCCGCCACTTCGCACCCGGTTCCCGAAGCGCGCGACCAACGATCGGGCTTGTCAATTTGGATCCCGCTGGTCATGTGAAGCGGGCACGTGCGCGCGGCGCTCCCCGGACAGCGGTGTTTACGGCCTTCTCTTGGGCGGCCAGCGGGTCGCCGCACCCGCGCCGAGGTCTCCTCTTGGCGGCCCATCCCCCGAGAGGCACCGCAGTGCGACCCGCCCCGCCCCCCTCCTGGCTTCTTCTGCCGCATTCGCCGACTGTCTTCCTCCCCTTCCCCCCCCCCCTCTCGCCCCTCGCTCCCTCTCTATCTCCCCCTATTTCCCGCCCCTGCCCCATGGTGGTCCTTGTCGCTGTGATCGCAGCGCCGCCAAGCACGGCCGCCGTGGCCGCCGTGGCCCCCTCCTCCCAGTCTCCGGCCCTTCTGGCCGCGCGGATACATGACCCCTCGCTGGTGGGCAACAACGCGCAAGAGCGCCGGCAGCGGGTGTCCTATGTTGTGACGGCGGCCGTGCGCCAGGCCGTCGCCAGCGCCGCCTGCCGGTCGGTGTCGGTTGCCTCGATGGCCGCCAGCTATGTGCCCTCGCAGCCGCAGCCGCAGCCGCAAAGTCAGCAGCAGCAGCAGCAGCAGCAGCAGCAGCAGCAGTCTAACCGCCCCCGGGCCGGACCAGGCGGGCCGGCGTCGGCAGCCGCAGCCGCAGCCGCGGCCGGGGCCCCGCGCGATACCATCTTCGTGGCCGAGGCCAGCGCCGGGCATGGCCCGGTCATGGGCGGGCGCCTGTCGGCTGCGCCGCTGGCGGCCGCCATCGAGTCCAGCGCGGCGGCCGTGCTCAGCCTCGACCGGACCTCGGACGACGGGGTCTTCGCGCTGCCCCCCTCGCCGGGTCTCTTCCCTGTGCAGTACACTTGTGTGTGGGCGCGCACGGGCGGGTGCGTCCCGCGCCTGGCTTCTCTCTCTCTCTCTCTCTCCCCCCCCCCCCCCCCCCCCTGTCTCCCTCTCCCTGCTCCTATGGCTGCCGCACATGGGTAGCTGACCGTCTTTTCGCCTCCTCCCCCGGGGCCCTCCCTGCCCCATACGCCCTGTGCCCCTGTTTCCCGCGTGCCAGGCTGATTGTCTCGCTCCTATTGGACCCCGGCGAGAATCCCCTCTTCGCCACGAAAACCGCCCGCGCACTGGTCATGGCGATTGGTGGGCTCTCGGCGACCAGTGGCCGGCAGGCCAACCCTCACGCCCCCTTCCAGTCGACCATTTTGCTGGAGGTACGCCCGCGGACCAGCACGCTGGGCCATCGCCCGCGTCTGGCCCCCCCCCCCCCC